CTCCTTTAGTGTTGAAGCACATGCATAAAGAAAGGCTAAATATATTACTGGTAATTCATAATGGGTCATTTTGGTGGATTCGTAAAGTTCATTTCAAATGAATCCCCTTTATAAAGAAAAAGTAATGACTAACTGATAATTGAGACTGAATTGTAGTAAACAGGTGTGAGATTTGTAAGAGTTAAGCTGAAATCAGACCTTAGGAACCGGGAAGGAAAGACATCAGTAAAGAAAGGCAGTGCATTTTTTCATTTTTATCCACTTTTCAGATATGTTTTTTTATTGACAATATCATCCCTATACAAATCATTTTTATCCACTTTTCAGATATGTTTTTTTATTGACAATATCATCCCTATACAAATGCAACAAGGCATGGCTGGTTGAAGTATCAGATACAAACTAAAATATCCCTCCAGCGAGAACAGTTCCGTGACAACTGATGGGGCTACCCTGGTAAAATGAAATACTTAATCAGTGATACTACTTTTTGAAGAATCCTGATCAAACTCTACAAATTTTAGGATGTATCCTTCAAGGTTTTATGCTTTTCTTGAGTACGGTATATCTGCTAGAGTACTGGGTATGGCATCCCTAGAGAGGAAATAGCTGATTGCTTCCAATTGGAAAACATCTCCTTTACTATGTACATTGTATATACCATTCCCTCCATATGATTCTGAATGGTGGCAATTTTCATTGTATCAATGAGACATACATGTAGTTTTATTGTAGCCCCAAGATTATTCATCTTCTTTTCTGCCAAAATCTCCTTGGCATTGCTCTTTGCAGACCGCTTCTTTCCCACATTTTCCGTGTTTCTACGGTAGGCCATTTTGCAACTGCAGGGATATAAATTTGCACGCGCTACTGCACTGGTGCTAGTACCATTTATCATTGCAGGACCCACAGTGAAGAGGCAACCAGCGAGTTGCACAATGTCCTCTCAAAGATCGATGAAATATCTTGTCAGTTTATTTCAAAGCCTGAATAAGCTGAGTGACTACCAGTAGTTGATCAGGTATGTGAAGAAACAAATGCAGTGGGTCTGGGACTACCATATGAATGGGAAGAAATGGGAAAATATGCTCTGCCACACAAGTTTTGTTTATTACTTTTGTTTCTGCTTAGACATATCTCTTATTTCATCAAGTGTGCGTGCATCTTTCTTATAATCTTCCATTGACCACTTCTTAATACTTAATTTTACACTGACAGCATTTTTTTGCAGTCATCGGCTGTATATTAGTTCGTGCACAAACAATGTACATGTGATTACTATAATGTGTTGACTGTTGGAATTATAACAGAAATGCAACATGAAAAAGGGCTTATTAAAATATCCTTTAAAAGTTTTTTTTTCTTCGTCCCCCAAGGATGTCTCTCGAATCCAGGTTCATGGACCTGAATACACCTGAAACAATTATAAACAGCCAAATGCGTCGCTCGGTTATACAAAGATATAAGCAAATAAGATCAAAACAAATGGCTCTTACCAGAGACAGTTACAAAGTTCACTCCGCAGAAACAAAAATCCGTAGGGTCGTGTCCACACTGTTAAAATGCAGAAAACGACTTGTATGGAAATCTATGTAATATGCCTTATGGTAATGTGTATGTCAATCTGTACAACTGTTGATATTTTTTGCTACGGTACATCATGTTTTAAACTAGATATTGAGAAACAAAGTCCAGAAAAGGACTGAATGATGTGTACCGGTACTTACATGTACATGAAGATGGATGTCCTTAGTCCATGTGAAAGAAAAACAGCTGAGGTGAAAAAGTCCTTTCACAGACGTGAAATTCTAAACTCTTTCTGAAAATATTGTTAATGTGATGAGCTCGCATCACTAAAATAAGTTATAGCATGGGGGCAGTTTGAAAAACTAACGTTTTTCCAGTTCCTTGAACTCCCTACACAACAGAAACATCTCCAGTTCCTTCGGGTGAATTCGTCGGTCCTCTTCAATGATACCCTTGGCGAGCATCTTCTTTGCCACCTTATTAAATTGACTGAGGCAGTCCTGTAAATAGGTGTATGGGTACAGGTTGTGGAGTCGGTCCTCATACATCCATTGTAAATCCTCAAATGTGCCCATGACGGCTGAAGGTCTTGGATCTTGATCTATTATGATCAAAATTTCATCGGCTAACTTAAAAAGAAATCCATGGTCTTGTATCTTTCACTGCTAAGTTTAGGTATGGTCCCTGACTGTGATTTTACCCCCTACTCTTGTATTTAGAAGGTTAATAAAATGCAAATACAATAAGAATTAAAAAGGAAGCCTAGATAGTCTATTGTTTCACAGACGTGAAATTCCAAACTCTTCCTTGAAAATGTATTGGCCCTAAAAGGACCATATTGTTAATGTGATGTGTTCGCATCACTAAAATAAGTTATAATATGGGGGCAGTTTGAAAAACTAACGTTTTTTCCAGTTCTTTGAATTCCTTCCACAACAGACACGTTTCCAGACAGATGATCGGGTTGTTGTAAACACGCTGCATTTTATCTAGTTTCTTCGGGTGAATTCGTCGGTCCTCTTCAATGCTACCCTTGGCGAGCATCTTCTTTGCCACCTTATGAAATTGAAGGAGGCAGTCTTGTACATAGGCGTACAGGTACTCATCTTGGAGCTGGTCCTTGTACATCCATTGCAGATCCTCAAATGGGTCTATGACAGCTGAAGGTCTTGGGTCTTGATCTATTATGGTTGAAATTTCATCAGCTAACTTAAATGAATGAATTCAGTGAATTGAAAAATTTGAACAAACATTCGTTTTTTTTTATAAATCTTATTCAAAAGATCGCCAAAAGCATTATCAAATACATTTCTATGTGCTTGCACCTCTCTAGCATCATGCACGTGTTGAGTTTGCGAGGGGTAATCTACCTCGTATCCGTATTATATCTTTGCCCATGTATCGATGAGGGGGAGCATTTCAACAGCAAACATTTGTTTCAAAATAGAATAACATTCTACTTCTATGAATGGCGGAATATTAATCACCTCATGGTTCCTCCTTATTGTCCTCCTTCGTTTCGTCTTCTTTGCTCCCTTCATCCTCCTCCAAGTTTGCCTTGTCTTTCTTGACCTCATCCTGCTTCTCCTCTTCCTCCTCCAGAACCATCTGAAGATCAACTGTTGAGTAATCAAAACAAAACATATATAGTGTTTACGTCAGTCAAATGCAGAATATGATGCACATGTAGTTTTCTGGGCATAAGTTAAGGATGTGGGGTTTCAATACAATACCTACTTTTGCCTGCAATAACTGGAGAGCTACAAGGAGTATTCCCAGAATCAGCTACGATGTCTTGGCTGTCTTGGGCACATCCTTCTTCGAGGGGCTGCACTGACGTTCAGCCTCCACCATGGCCTCACTGATGTTGGGAATGGACCTTACCAACGCCCTCCACTCTTCCAGTGTTAAGTTGATTCCTCACGAACCAGCCACAAAAGGAAACCCTTCCCCTTGCTCTGCAAATAGTCCCTGATCTTGACATACACTTGGTCTTGGAAGGACTGGACCATGGCATGCCAATTTCCTCGGAGTGGGAACCGCCATGATGTTGAGGGGGTTATCCGACGCTGTGGTCTGATAGTCAGAGGTGCCTGGATGCTCCTTGTTTCCATTCTCCTCTGAGATCTGCTTATATAGCTGAGGGAAAGAAATACATGCGCAGACATGAAATTCTATTCTCTTTTTTTTTTGAAAATGTAATGGTCTTTAAAAGGAACATATTGTTAATGTGATGAGCTCGCATCACTAAAATAAGTTATAACATGGGGGCAGTTTGAAAACTGACGGTTTTCAACTCCCTCCACAACAGAAATATTTCCAGACAGATGAGTGGGTTGTTGTAAACACGATGCATTTTATCCAGTTCCTTCTGGCGAAGTCGTCGTTCCTCTTCGATGATACCCATGGCGAGCATCTTCTTTGCCACCTTATTAAATTGACTGAGGCAGTCTTGTAAATAGGTGTACGGGTACCCGTCTTGGAGCCGGTCCTCATACATCCATTGCAGATCCTCAAATGGGCCTAGACAGTTAGAAACAAAATCCAGAAAAGGACTGAATGATTGTGTACAGGTACTTACATGAAGATGGATGTGGTTAATCCATGTGAAAGAAAACAGCGGAGGTGAAAGAAGTATATTCACAGGCGTGAAATTCCAAACTCTTTTTAAAAAATATAATGGTCCTAAATGGACCATATTGTTAATGTGATGAGCTCACATCAATAAAACAAGTTATAACATTGGGGCAGTTTGAAAAACTAACTTTATTCCAGTACCTTGAACTCCCTCCACAACAGACTCATTTCCAGACAGATGAGCGGATTGTTGTAAACATGCTGTATTTTATCCAGTTCCTGCAGGTGAATTCGTAGGTCCTCTTCAATGAAACCCTTGGCAAGCATCTTCTTTGCCACCTTATGAAATTGAAGGAGGCAGTCCTGTAAATAGGCGTACGGGTTACCCACCGGTCTTGGAGCTGGTCCTCATACATCCATTGCAGATCCTTGAATGGGCCCATGATGGCTGAAAGTCTTGGGTCTTGATATACTATGGTCGAAATTTCATCGGCTAAAAAATGAATGAATTTGGTGAATTGGAGAATTTGAACATACATTCCCTTTTCTGATTAATGTTATTTAAAAGATGCTAAAAGTTTAATCGAAATACGTTTCTATGTGCTTCCACCTCTCTAGCGTCATGCACGTGTGTTGAGTTTGCAAGGGGTAATTGCCTAGCACCCGTAGCATAATGTCCTCGCCCATGTATCGATGAGGGGAAGCATTTCAACAGCAAGCATTTGTTTAAAAATAGAACAACATTATACTTCTATGAATTGAGGAATATAAATCACCTCATAGTTCCTCCTTATTGTCTTCCTTTGTTTCGTCTTCTTCGCTCCCTTCATCCTCCTCCAAGTTTGCCTTGTCCTTCTTGACCTCGTCCTGTTTCTCCTCTTCCTCCTCCTCCATAAAAATCTGAAGATCAGCTGTTGAGTAATCAAAGCGAAATAATAAGTGTTTACAACTTTACGTCAGTGAAATGCAGAATAAGATGCACATGTGTTTTTCTGGGCATAAGTTAAGGATGTGGGGTTTCAATACTATACCCACTTTCACCTGCAATAACTGGAGAGCTACATGTACAAGGAGTACTCCCAGAATCAGCTACGGTGTCTTGGGCTATCTTGGGCACATCCTCTTTTGGAAGGCTGCACTGACGTTCAGCCTCAACCACTGCCTTGCTGATGTTGGGAATGGACCTCGCCAACGCCCTCCACTCTTCCAGTGTTAAGTTGATTCCTCACGAACCAGCCAGAAAGGGAAACCCTTCCCCTTGCTCTGCAAATAGTCCCTGATCTTGACGTACACTTGGTTTTGGAAGGACTGGACCACGGCAGGTCGATTTCCTCGGAGATGGAACCGCCATGATGTTGAGGGGGTTATCCGACGCTGTGGTCTGGTATTCAGAGGTGCCTGGGCGCTCCTTGTTTCCATTCTCCTCTGAAATCTGCTTATATAGCTGAAGGAAAGAAATACATGCGCAGACATGAACACTTTTGAAAATGTAATGGTCCTTAAAAGGACCATATTGTTAATGTAATGAGCTCGCATCACTAACATAAGTTATAACATGGGGGCAGTTTGAAAAACTGTTTTTCGAGTTCCTTGAGCTCCCTCCACAACAGAAATATTTCCAGACAGATGAGTGGGTTGTTGTAAACACACTGCATTTTATCCAGTTCCTTCTGGTGAAGTCGTCGTTCCTCTTCGATGATACCCATGGCGAGCATCTTCTTTGCCACCTTATTAAATTGACTGAGGCAGTCTTGTAAATAGGTGTACGGGTACCCGTCTTGGAGCCGGTCCTCGTACATCCATTGCAGATCCTCAAATGGGCCTAGACAGTGAGATACAAAGTTCAGAAAAGGACTGAATGATTGTGTACTTACATGAAGATGGATGTCGTTAATCCATGTGAAAGAAAAACAGCGGAGGTGAAAGAAGTATGTTCACAGGCGTGAAATTTCAAAGTCTTTTTCGAAAATACAATGGTCCTAAAAAGACCATATTGTTAATGTGATGAGCTCGCATCACTAAAATAAGTTAGGGGCAGTTTGAAAAACTGACGTTTTTCCCATTCCTTGAACTCCCTCCACAACAGAAACATTTCCAGACAGATGAGCGGGTCCTTGTACAAACGCTGCATTTTATCCAGTTCCTTCATGGGCATTTGGGGGTCCTCTTTGATGATACCCTTGGCGAGCATCTTCTTTGCCACCTTATTAAATTGATGGAGGCAGTCCTGTAAATAGGTGTACGGGTTACCCACCGGTCTTGGAGCTGGTCCTCATACATCCATTGCAGATCCTCGATTGGGCCCAATGACGGCTGAAGGTCTTGGGTCGTGATCTATTATGGTCGAAATTTTATCGGCTAACTTTAAAAAAATCCATGGCCTTGTATCTGTGACTGCTTAGTTTATGAATAAAAGAGAAAACATAATGATCTAATGCATATTCATTAAGCAATAAACAAGCCAAGGGAAGTGGGAGGCACTAATCCCCAAAGTGAAGGCTTAGCACATCATAAAATAACTCTACTGGCTCAAAACTCTGAACACTAGGCCATTGAACCTGGGAACAAAGGAAATCTCTTTAGATATAACCAAAGCACATGGTGAAGAATAAAAAAAAAACCTTTAACATCTAAGAAAATGTACCAGAAAAACACAAAATCTAAATCTAGAATCCAAATGAACTCTCAACCTTTCTTAATAATAAAACAAAAATCTATCCTTAAGTATAACCAAGGTTGAAAACAAACAGAGCAACTAAGAAACTTTTCTCAAAAGAACTTGAAAAGGAACTTGTTGAAAAACGAAATCTTTCATTAAGTAGGATAAAACAACCATCATCAATAGAAATAAAACACTGAATTTGTCTTAAGCAAAAAGGGTATCTAAAATTCAAAACTTGAAGTTCCCAAGATCTAAACTTACCAGAGTCAACCTTTTCTCTGTGAACTAAACAGACTTTTAATGAACTAAAACGGAATATATTTACTGAAAATCAGTACACAAAAGAAAACTCACCAATTGACTCCAACAGCAGATAAACTTCAAGCAGAAACCCACTCTCCAGGTAGGAGGAACATAAATGAATATAGAACTTGTCTCTGCTGCCTGCTGGCTAAACTGAATGAGGCTGGAACATGTGGCAGCTTATATAGGGGTAACGTGTGGGCTAAAGTGAACAAACAGGGGGAAACACTACCAACAAAAAAGGGGGGGAAGCACTACCAACAAGGGGGGGGGGAATGTTAAAAACTAAAATGATTTTCTTTTCTAAGGGGGGCTACTCCTATTTAAAACACTGAAAATTCACAAGTAAAACTTGGTACTGCCACATTTAGTGGATAGTTCCGCCTGGTTCACTGTGGCATCACTTTCCTTGAACTGCATTAATGTATGGATGAGGGCTACCAAGTTTCAAAATACATTGGCTACACTCTGACCAGTTAACAACCATCTTATCCTGCATGCTCGCTGAACTTTAAATGCAGTGGAACTTATCAGCCCACTCTTGCACAAATATACAAGTACCCTTTTCAAAATGCTTTTTTTTTTTAAACCCCTCCTTCCAAAAAAACTTTAATCAGTAGTCTTTTTTCGTAGATCTAGTTATAATTTGCTTGGTTTTAGGGTTACACATAATTTTATACGAATCCGTTATACTGATTTTGGCATCTATATCAACTCTGACGATCTTTGACACTGCTTCATTATTTCCTTTTTGAGATTCGATAATTTAACATGAATCCTCTCTTTGCAACATGTTTTGCCTGTGTCTAACGGATATGCATCATTTTTTGGTGACCCTGTTACAAAGCAGTCAATGTATTTCCATCAGTAGGGTCAATTTTATCTGTAGCTTGTCCTAAATAGTCGCCCACAGGATGGTAATACTTGCCCAGTCTTTTAACATACATGTAGATTATACTATCTATGTCAAAGTACAGTATGGATTTGGGGTTTAACAGCTGTAGCCAAGCATGGGCTGTGGTGAATGCGGCTATAACCACATTGGTACGAGGATTCGGTTCTATAATCGCAGTTTCTTGTTCAAACTTAACCTCGGCTACTTTATCATTGTTGAAATTGATGTGTGTCGCAATGTTTTCATCAGAAACCAACAAGTTAAATAATTCCGACAGCTCTGATACAACTTTGGTTTGTTTGCTGCCCAAATTTTCCCCAAAAGCTATTAAACATGAATTTGGCCAAGGCCCTTAACCCAGGGTTTTTCTCTATCTTGTTTCAGTCTTACATAATGCCCTCATATTGATAGCACTCTTCAATATACCATTGTATATCTTCCTGTGTTATAAACATAGGAGCTGAATAAACCACCTTCCTTACTATCTGGCTCGTATTGTTCTCTTTTATCAAAGTGCCACACGATGTCTATGTCAAGAACTTTATATCCTAACTCAATGGACTTTTTTGATTTCGACTGACACCCAGGTAGCCCTCAATGCTCTTTCTTCATCATTATGGTCACACAGTGTCTTTTGGGACTGTTCTAAGCATGTGCAGCTCAGGAGAAACATTAATTTATTACTTGCCATGTATGGCAGTAGCGGGTGATACAAATTTGACGGGGGTACACTTTACATTTGATCAACCCAAAATATTCAGATGCATCGCCAAAATTTTCAGTTACTATATGCTATTGGCATAAAGGATAGCAAAGGGCCTTTCAGATGATTCTCGTCCAGGACCGGGTAAAACTCTTCTTTACTGACGATGTCTACCAGTTCTTGACGGAGCTTGATACAGGGAAGATTTGTTTCGGTGGAAGTATTGGAAGACGTACACCGTCACTTCCCAGCTTGCAGCCTTGATGAATTTCGATGTCAAATAGATCGTCATTGTGGATGGATTGATAAATGTGTATAATAACACGTTGAAACATGACATCGTTGTGTACAATTGCTATCCCACTCGCATTCCCACATCTCGACATAAGTGCACTGAAGGGCATATATTTGAATGACTCTTTTTTTTCTCCAGTGTGCGCATGTACATGTAGGACTCGTTCATTGTCTGATTACTTCTTTTATTTACAGTGGTTCGATCAGTATAACACTTGGGACAAACATTCCAAAAACACCCTTGAAACTCATAAAAAGTTTTGGTGTGAGGACAAATTCCATCAAATTTGTATTTTCCGACCTTCTTTTCTCCCCTATTTCTCGCATGCTGTATTTGAATCCTTTCAAGTTTATTAACATAGCGCATCCACTGTAGAGCTTTCTTGGATTGATTTTCTTTAGTTTCATAACCATGCGGAGGTAATATTGTATGGTTTCAGGGGCCAGAAAAAGGTATCTAAAGTTTAAATTGCAAGATGAGGCGATAGTTATACAATTTGTGAAAGGATCCACACCATCATCATCTGGTCCCAAGGAGGTTACCTGTTTAAACAACGACCAAAACTATTGACAGCAGTGACATAAAATATCTAGAGGTTCAGTATGCTAGCAGCAACTTAACCTCTTCTTCATACAACTGATTAAACTCTGTTCTTCTCTCCGTATTCATACCATCTTCGGGTTCCTGTTTCCTTTTTCTCAGGTAGGGAACCAACATAAGCCTTGTTTTGCATAAACTGATTGATGGCCTTTGAATAATTTTCGCTTATGATTACAATAACAAACTGCATCCCTGAAACTTCTGTTGCAGTTGTTACCATTACTAAATCTTTCATTTGCACCGGACTTACGCCCTTCAGTGAAGCACAGTTTACATCTTGCACTACACCTGTGCTCTGCTCTGCTCTCGCTACACCTGTACTCTGCTCTGCTCTGGACTCATTGTATCCTGTTAGATATTCTTAGCAATAATTGCTTCTGTTACAGAATCCAGACATTGACTGTATCAAATCGAAATGCTCTTTGTACTGATACAAAAA